TGGAGGTTACCTCAGTGCTCTAGTGCTATAATCCCAGAGACAGGATGCTCAGGATAAGCCGTGTCCTTTAAGTGTACATTTGACCCGGTAGGTTTTGTAGCTACACACTCCAGCAGTAACCATCCAGCCACATATGTAAGATTCATTTGCTCAAAGGCACATTATTTCCTGTGAGCTACATGTCTGGTCTATTTTTACTGCCAAGCATCAACAGGCAGGCTAGATATACGTACAAGAAGACACACATGCAAGACAAAATTGTCCTCTGTGATGCATAATCAAAAAGTCTGCTTAAGTTATGTCTCCTTCTCTTCTCCAGCAGTCAGGGGAAACCAATTACTTTTGTCAGCTAGCAAACTGATCTGCATATATATGACAGAAGGGAGAAATTCTACCTTACTGTCAGGATTTTTCACTGTATATAATGGAGGCATGGATGGCTGGAGAAAGACTTAACTCTCCTGCTTCAGATTTGGCAAGAGGAAATTACGGCAATGATTCTGCAGCTGTACGGGATTAGGGAAAAATGAAGGTAGGAGAGTGGCATTCTTGCAGACATTAGTCCTCCCCAGTGCCTGTCATCACCACTATTACAAAGCACAACTGCTGAGACTGGGGCATAATCCGAGAATTTCAATCCATACCTAAGCAAAGCCAAAGAGTAGTTGGGTTACCTTCAGGTTTCATAATATGTATAATGACTCCTCTGTTTGCCAGTTTCCAGAGACCCTGCCGGTTCCGGATATCCAGGTGCTTGAACAGCTTGGCTGCATATATTTCTAGGGTTACATTGGGATGTACCCTCAGGAACTCGAGAATTCTTTCAGAGCATTTCCCACAGGGGGTAGTGGATAGGACCCAGGTGATGGAGCAAGAAACTGATGGGTTGGCATTGAAACGATTTTCCAAGAAGTTGACTTCAGCATGTTGGGTAGAATTGTTTGTGCACCAATTCCTCCAGATAGTACCTCTGGTCCACCTGATTTCATACAGCAGATACACCACATCTGGATGTTGGCCAGGCAAAAAATTTCTTTTAAAGTCATTTGGCTGTATCTTCCACCTGTGACAAAAGTACCAGCAGTCCTATGATCTCAGCACTTCAGTGATGTTTGATCCCATTGTGCATTGCCTGCTCTCAATGGCAGCCAAGCCTCTCACTTTCAGCTTTTCCCATCACAAACAAGCAGCTTGAAGAATGTTGCAACCTAATGTCCTAAATCTGGAAATTGATGAACTATTCCCCTGCAGTAGCCCTAGTGAAACATTCAAAACACCTCCTTGGGAGGTGTTGGGAGGGTAAGCAACCTCATGACCACTCTGAGATCAGCAGTGCTCAAAGCAGTGAGAAAGATGGAAATGAAGATCAGTGAAAGAAATGGTAAAAGGAAAACAGGGCACAAGGCTTCTTAGCTTTGAATGTCCATGGAAATTTATATGGGGCCCAGACAGTACCCAGTGATAGAACTTTATCTCTTACCCTTGGTTGTTCTCTCTGGATGCAGAACCTATACAGAAAATATTTGTGAGTATGGCAGATCAGAAAACAGAATTTCTTCCACATCTCCTGTCCTGGCCTCTTTCAGTCTATCCACTCCCTGCCAAATCTCTTTTATCTAAAAGGGCTTAATAAGTAATCTCTGCACAGCAAGACAGCCACTCTGGGATGCAGGATCAGTGTATTTCTACTGGGAGCTTGTAGCAGGATGCTCCATCTCAGTGTGACTGCCTCAGTTTCTGTTTGTGATTCAACTGCTCTCTGTATCTCAGTTTTACAGCGCCATGCCTGGAGTGGAAAGATTCCCATGGGAAAGGAAAGGTCCTAGCTAGCTCTGAACTGGTAACAAGCTTGAAAGTACAAACAGAGGGCTAAGCTGATGTCTGTAACAGCAGCTGCTCCCTGGTGTTTAAGAGCATGGAGCCCAGCCTAACCACAACTAGGCCCAAAACGGTGATAAAACAAGAATGAACCGATAAACAAATGAGTTTGCTTGGTGAGAAAAGGGCCTTCTTGGGTTTTTCCACTGTTTTCACCTTGTTCTCCAATGAGAGATTTTAGAAGTACAGCTATGTAATTAAATGACAGTAGTCAAACCATTTTATTCTATAAAAGCCTGGTCCCATCTTTGACTGGACAGGGTCTTGGACACTTTCCCTAAGAGGTGTGCTGGACCTTCTCCTCTCCAACAGGGATGCCTGCCTGACCAGTTATTTCTCTGAAGTCGAAAGACAAGACAAGGCACACCCAGCGGTGGCCGTAAGGAGGTGAGAGATATCTGTTCTCCCTCTATATCTTGATTAGCTAGCCTTAATATTAAGAAATCTTTCACTCTAAAGTTCTAGAACTTTAAGACCTCAGGATCCTTTTTAGATAATTGCAATGATTGTCTTATCACTTTGCCTAGGTATTATTTTTAATCATTTTTTTAGATAAGGCCTATTAATAAGTACGTTAATAAGTAAGTAAGGCCTGTTAATCAGTAACCATTTAAATGGTTAACCTCTGCCAAATAACTGACTATTAGTTGTGCATGTTATTGTTATGATACCTTTTCGCATTATTGCTTTAATATTCTGTTCTTCTGCCCTAATATCCCAACTCCCATTCAGTTTGGTTGTGTTCTTCTCTGGTGGTTTGGTCATTAAGACTCCAGTGGTGTTTTCAATAAATCTTGTTTTGTGCATGTATGTCTCATCTGCTGTCACACCCGTTTAGGACAGAGGTTAAATTGGTGGTGGTTTAAACTACTCTGTACACGAACCCTCTCTCACTTTAACACATTTGGATTCACCATGACCTCACTCAAGTTTAAATTCACTGATTTCAGCAGTACTGCACATGCTTTCCCCTGACTAATGGAAGAACAGAATCATACCTCTTCTCCATTTGTACCTTCCAAACCACTTCTACTAGTTAAAATTTGAGTTATTTTTCTGTAGGTTTTCACAATATCAATCTAGACAAAACATTTTCACAGCCAATGGATCTTTCTTTTCTTACTGTGGAACTGCTTCAAAAGCTGAAAAAAACATCAGTACAAAAGGAAAAAAACACCAGTGCAGAAAGGAGGGTGATTTCTCACTAACAAATGCCTATGGGGTGGCTCCATAGACCTGCCTGATTATATACATTTTGTCTCTCATGATGGGGAAGAAGATGAAACCTGTAACTCATTCATCCCTTCCCAACAGAGGTCTACATGAAAACAATTGCAGGTGATCAAGGCTAGTTATCTGTTTTGTAAAAGTCCAACAATAGCAAATGTAAGGATCTAAGAATCCTTTTTTTAATCAAAGAAAAAAATTACTTAGAATTAACATGCTAAAGGCTTAAAAGCTCCTAGATCTTTAAGAGGAGGAATTATGAAATATACAGAGTGAAATTACATTTCAACAGGAATAAAATAGTCTTCTAGATCAACAGAGACCTGATCAGCTCCTTGCTTAGCCTTATTTCACTGATACTTTAAGGGCATTGTCCAGTTTTTTATTGTGTTGAAAACAGAATAGGTGACAGTATAAAAAACCTAATTTGCTCCATTCTTTCTTGCCTTCGAGATCTCTTTCCACATTAAGAAGTATTTAGGAATTTGCACTCTTTCTGCCTAATGCCGTATCAGAATTTAGCAAAATGACACATTGACTTTTTGAAGCTGGACCTACAACTCATGATACTGTAATGCATTCAAAGACATGACACTCAAAAATCCACAAATGTCTCCTGTGTATCTTCATGTATCAAAACACACATTTGTCTGTACTTCACCAGTTCCTTAGAAACAACTACAGTAAATATCTACACTGAGTATGAAGAAATAGACCTACTTGTCACATAGATGTTGGCACTTACCTCTACCAGTGGCTGCAGCCATGGATAAGTCTGGATTTGTCTGTCTCTCTTGGATCATGGGTGTCCTTTTATTAGTTTCACATTTAGTTTGGTTTCTATTCCCAAGGATTACTCACTTGAATACTTGTTCAGCAGAAACTTCCTTTTACACAGAATAACTGCCACCAAGTGAAACTGAAAGCAAGTTCCCAGCAGAGAAAAAAAACAAAAAAAGGCAGCAAAAGAGGGCAGATCCCACTCAGCAGAGGATCCCTGAGTGCATACCAAGGTTGCCTGCCAGAAGTTGGAATGAGCAGGTGAGCCTCTTTTTCACTGCAGAATAGAAATTCTACCTCTTTATTACCACTAGCCCCAGAATAGAAAGCAGCTCTTCCCTAGTCACCCCAATGCACCAAGAGAGAATCTACAGCAATGGCATCAGGTCCCAGGGCTGTGGCATGGCAGGTAACTTTTCTGGAACCTAAATACCAGCAGAACCCTGTGGAGAGAGGGAAGCAGAAGATGTAATTTGCAAAAGCTTGGGATTTAATGGATCTCTAGCAGGTTGTGATGGTTACTGCCATATCCTTTCACAGGACCATTCTGTGGAGTTCCAAGGACCCTTGAGCCAAGGTCCTCACATAAACAAGGAAAGCTCCCAATGTGTGTGTGGACACATCTACAGCTGTGGTCAGCAACCAGGCCAGCACTCTCAGGCTGACTCTAAGCAAGCCCCCCCAGCATCCAGGACAGCTATGAGAGCAGATAGCTTGTTGTGGGGGAACACCCAGATATTTGTGAAATGTCACACCAGAGAAGAGCTCTGTACTCAGATGGGCACCTGAGAGGAAGACCAGAGCAGCTGGTGTGTATCTGCAAAAGCTATTGATCATGACATGTCACTGATGTAAAAGGACTAGGCTTTTTCCAGTGCCCCAGGAAATCTTCTCAGCATTATGAACTTGACATCACCCATTTAATCTGAAAAATTAGTGAAACAGTGTTAATGTTAGAGATAAAGTTCATTCTCATGTTTTTGGGTAGAAAAGTAGCACTTGTATTTCAGGAAGCTGAGCTTGCTTTGTGGAATACCACCCTGCTCCTTTTTCTGCACAGAACTGGATATTAAAGGAAATGTCTCAGCTCTGTGTGTGGATTGGCTTCTTGCACAATGGGCAAAGAATTTCAGGACAACATGGGGGACCTCACAGTGGCTTTCCAGTACCTGGAGGGGCCTACAAGAAAGATGAGGAGAGACTGTTTACAAGGTCATGTAGTGAGATGACAAGGGGTAATGGATTAAAACTGAAAGAGGGGAGATTTAGGTTAGATATTATGAAGAAATTCTTCACTTTGAGGGTGGTGAGACACTGGCACAGGCTGCCCAGGGGGGCTGTGGAGGCCCCATCCCTGGAAGTGTTCAAAGCCAGGCTGGATGGGGCTCTGAGCCACCTGGTCTACTGGGAGATGCCCATGCAGGGGGGTTGGAACTAAATGATGTTTAAAGTCCCTTCCACCCCTAGCCTTCTGTGAATCTATGACAATTCTATGAAAATCAGAAGGACAAGGCTACGAAGCAAGTGAATTATGATGCTTCTAGAAGAATTTGCACATCCCATCCATGGAGAGACCAAAATTCAGTGCTCCAGGGGATGATGAAAACCTCCAGAAGGCTCATTCATACAGGTGGGAAAGCCCTTTCTTGACTTCTACGAGCAAATAGACATGACTCAGGATGTCTTCTACGTGTCAGTTTCTATGAGTCTGTAGCAAGGGTCATATATCTGGGTGGGACCTCGTGTTACTCAGCTATGAACAGTTTGTTTTTTTCCCTATTTCTCATGCTGTCAGTAACCTCTCCTGGCAGAAACTGCTTAATAACATTAGAGATAAAAATGAAGATGGTTTCTAATGCTTAGGTATTGGTAACACCTGAATATATCTCACTCACTCCAGCAAATGTGGTTTGGTTTTGTTTTTAAATAACCCCACTCTCATATGCACACCTCCTGAACATAAATGCATTTTGAAGGAAAATACACAGTAAAGGGCACACAGCATGGTGAACATACACTCACTCATGACTCATTGTCAGAGACTTTTCAGTGACCTGTGAGTATATGTAGAACATCCCTTGTTGTGTCTTAAACGACTCGGGATGGAATCCTGTGTTAGGCAAGCAGGAACAGTGCAGGCAGGATGGCAGGTGCACTTTTGGGGGTATAAAAAAGATTCACCTCCCTTGAAACACACCGAGTGGGACAAGACACTCCTTTAGCCACCAGGTCCCTTAGATCTTCACAGTAATATTCCCTTTAGTCGTAATAGAGCCATGGTGTATATCTATGACCAGATTCCCCAGGGTTAATAATCTAGAAGCTTCCCATTTTCTTCAGAACACTTTGCAAAGAGACTCCAAGATACATAGCAGGTGACAGCGAGGTGAACAGAGTAACAGGGAGCCAGCTCCCTACAGATGTCTCCCAGGAAATAGATTTCATTATAACAGTCCTGCAGCATGACAGTATTACAGTCGTGGTGTGTACTAGATGTAGCACTCTCCTAATTTATTCCACTGAGCCAGGTGTGTCTTGAGAGGACAGACCCATAGTTTGCAATTTATTTTTTTTATGTCTTTTGTCTTGTCTATGACTTGAAACTCAAGATGTGTGTCTGGTAACACCAGCTCAAGCATCACACTGAACAGATTTATTCAGCATAAAACACAAATTTGGGCTGAGGTAGAAGCTGTAGAAATGGAAAAATATGGTAGAAATTAAGAAAGACAGGCAGGTTAGAAAGAAACAAAGAGAAGCACAGAAGAAGGAAAGTTAGATCAGACACCACAGAAGGCAAAAAGGGACAAGGTTTGAATCAGCCAATATCCCAGTTTGCAAATCTCTGAGGATTTTGCAGGTACTGAGCTTTCTTTTTTTTCTGGCTGAATGATCTATTGGAAAGAGGTGAGAATCACCCAGTGAAATTCTGGAAGCCAGGGGGAAGACTAAAAGCTTGGAGCTCATGACATAGAGGCTTAGGTACCAATCTCCATTTGTCAGCTGCCTCCTGGACTTAATTTGTAATTGTGAATTTTATGTCAGCTCAAGTGCTCTGCAGCTGGCACATTTAACAATAAAAGCAAAATCCACAGCATGTTAGTCTGGATTCAGTGGTGTTTTCTTAGTATATACCTACATTTTTATGGAAAGAAAAAACACACAGAGCCTTTTGAGATTTACTCAGTGAACTTCAAGTTTTTGAAAAACGTGGTTTTGTGTGTGCACGAATGCACATGTATGAGCACACACACAGATATTAACATGCATAGGCATGCATAATAATGCAATAATGCATCTAGAAACAAGCTTATAGATACACAAATACACAACGTTAACAGCAGATGAGTTTGCAACTGGCTGATAAGCACACCCACCCATGGCCTTTTTATCTCTCTAGGCTCCTTTGATTTCCTTTCTTCTGCAGGTTACACAGCAGCATCATACTGAGACTCTGGTTCAGTTTCCATACATGGACACTGAAACGGAAGAGATTAAGACAACTGACGATGCCCTGCTACTGTTGGGTGAACTTGTGGGTCTGACTGAACAACAGAGTGAAACAGCAGCCACCAGGGTTTGTGGGCAAAGCCCTTACACTGGCAACGTGGAGCAAAGGTGCTTAGTGGGAAGGACTTACCTGTGTGCTGCCTTCAGTACTGATTTTTCTTAGCTAAACAAAACATCCCAAGATCCTTCTAATATCATTCTTTCACATTCACTGGTAAGGCTATAGGAACCAGAGAAGTGGATCAGACATATTTCATGAGGAGCCAGTGAAAAAAAAAGAAAAGCTGCAAGTGAATGTATCTGTATTTCAGCCCATGGTTTTTAGCTCTAAGCAGTCCTTCTACATGCATCTCATACAACATCATGTCACAGAATTTCTAGATATTTATCTTTCTGATTTTGCCTCTTTTCTATCCCTTTGTTTTGATGCATGTTCTGTGACGAAGAATTTGGCAGAACAGTAAGTACCTGAGAGCTGGTGGATATCAGAGTGGCCATGCTCCCTTTGAGAGGCTGAGTCTAGTATAGTCATCACACAACTGACAGGGTTTTAAATAGTTAGGGCGACAACAAAACTAGGTGGACTTCACTTAAGAGAAAGCAATGATTCATCTGTTCCTTTTCTATCAGTCATGAGATTGTTTTGAGCTGCTCAAGAAACTTTCAGCACTGAGCTTTTCTTTTGCAAGCACTGAAGGAGTGCTCAGTGGTGACCAAAACCTCCATCAGAACTAGGCATTACAACCATTGGGCACCACCAAGGGTGGAGCTAATTTTCTTTACAACATATGGTGCTGTGGTTTAGCCTGATGAGCAAAACAAGGTTGATAACACACTACTGATTTAGCTATTGCTGAACAGTGTTTGCATGAGATCAAGGCCTTGTCTGTTTCTGACTTTGCCCCAGTGAGGAGGCTGGGGGAGCAGGGGGCAGCATGTGACATGCTGGGAGGGAACACAGGTGGGACAATGGACCTGAACTGGCCACAGGGATCTTTCATGTCATCTAATAGGATGCTCATCAAGAAAACCTTGGGGGGAGATTTTTTTCTGAAGTTGCTGTTGCTTGAGGACTGGCTAGTCATCAATCTACTGGTGGTGAGTGATTGCCTCTTCACCATTTGGGTTGTCTTTTCTTTTTGTCCCCATCACTTACCAAACTGTCCTAGTCTTGATGCATGAGTTTTCTTCCTTTTGCACTTCTGATTCTCTTCCCCAACCCATGTGGTGGGGAGAGGAGAGAACAAGCAGCTCTGTGATGCTTAACTGCCTGCCAGGGCATCTCATGTCCATAGGCAGTCTAGAAAACCACCCTACCTGGGTATCCACAGGTAAGCTGCTAAAAAAGTCTTGTTAGAAGGCTTCAAGAGGCTCTGGAGATATGAGATTGCTCTGCCAGGATCTTCATGATTCAGGCCCTATGGTACTATGCAAATAGTATCTCCATCCCAGCTAACTCTCCTTCTCCTGCCACTGGCATGGAGCAGGACTGTGACATAAGAAGCTTGTGTGTTTAAGTCACAGTGAGCACTCTATAGTATTTATCATAGCAGAGGTGGGACAATCTACAAGAAGCCATCAGTAACCTTGATAGCATAGAACTTGAGCAGCCATGGCCTCGTGTGCAGGTCTGGGGGACACTTGGTACAGATGTGAGACAACTCTGTAAGGGAAGACATTTAGGGAATGCAGCTGAAGCAGTGGGTCCCAGCTACCTTCTCCCAGGCAGGACAAGGAGGAGCCTCAACAGCCACAGCAATGGTTATGGACTGTGTTCATTGCATCTGAAAGAAACATGAGGATTCTTAAGAAACATGAGGATTAAAAGGTGGGTATGGGGCTGAGCAGTGTTTGTGAGCAGTGGATGGTAGAAGTAGAAAACAAATGAAACAGAAATCAAGATGGAGTAGCAGAGAATTTTGAGGATGGAGGGGCAGATCTTATAGCCAAAAATCTAGCTGGGCTAAATGCTCATCAGATACAGTTATGAAAGTGGCCTGAAAATAATCTCAAACTACCCAGATAGTCTTAGCCCTGGTGCTGTGGATTAGGCATTCACTGATCAGGATGCTGCTATGAAAAGACCCCACTATTGGGCAGACAAATAATCCAGATGGTAGTTAGAAGCTGAGGGAATTATGATACCATGTTACAGCAATCTGCACTGTTCCTGTCTTACATTAGGAAAGTTGTCCTTGTTTGAGCCAGGATAAAGCCAATTTTCCTTTTACTGATTTATTTATTTTTTTATTTAGAGAACTTTCTTTTAATTAGCAGCAAGTTTTCCAGCTAGTAAACTGGTAATGCTGGAATGTTTATGTTGCTGCCGGGACTTCAAGGTCACTTCACTGTACTTGTTGAAACCGTGGCCTCTGAAGCTGGGGGAGCAGAAGAGCCATATCTGTGACCCTTCCGTAGGGAGGAGTGGACTAGATGGACAGCAAAACTGACCAAAGTATTTCATTCTGTATATCTATGTAAGCTTGGTGTAAGGTCAGAGATCACAGAAGTCAACTTCCTTCCTGCTTCTTCTTCCCTTCTCTTCCATCCATGCCTGGTGGCCAGAGAGGACTCCATCCCTCCATCACCACTGATCCCCAGGCCTGTGCATTCCTGACCCTCCTCACTCTCCCTCAGCTCCTGTCTGCTCTGCCCCCTCTCCAGCAGCTGTGGGACATTTGGGAACTGCTCCCAGTTCAGGAGATGCCTTGGGATTTGCTGGGGGTGGGGGGAGGCAATAGGGCTTTGCACATTCTTGAACACATTTGTATATAATTGTACATATTTTATTTTATCATATGGATTTAATTAAAGCTGTTTGGTTTAGTTTTCAATCAGTAAGGCTCTCTCTCTTAATTCTCTCTCTCCTTCCCTACCTGGCAGGAGGGGGAGGGGATCGAGAACATTGTTGTTGCTGGTTCAGCTGCTGGTCCTGAGTCAAACCGTGACAGGAGTCATGCACAGGGCTGACAAGGAAACCCTGCCAGACCTCACAGTTAACACAGATTTCAGCTTTGGAGGCTAATGCAGTTACCACTTGCTTTGTAAGACAGGCAGGGTTGCTGGATGGGGAACATACCCATCTGCACCTCCTTTGCCACAGCCTACAGCCCAGGCCACAACCTACCTTCATCAGAGACCCTTAAAGTGAGACACTCTGCCTCCCACCCCCATGGCTAAGGTTTAAGTGTGAACAGAAATATCATTAGGCAAGAAGTATTACAGCACACCTGCTAGTATCACACCTGCTGTACTTCCTGTCTAAGAGAAGCTGCACTGGATAAAGCTGCAATGTTAAATTAAACTGAGGAGCCCAAGTGGGATCTCATTTCCTTCCTCCTTCATCAGTCATTTTGTCCTCTACTGTTCTGCTGCATTTCCTGACTTCTCCACTTTTTTCCCCTGTAGCCTCCACCCTCCTCTTGTCCCAGGTGTTCTGGCCTAGGGCTAAACAGATGAAACTCAAAGCAAGAGTAGGGTGCCTCTTTGTTTGCCAGGAATAACCCTTTTGTCCTGCAGTAAAGTAACTATCCTCTATCTTCTCAGAGAATCATAGAATCATAGATACATAGAACCACAGAAATATCATTTGGCAATAAAACTGCTCTTCATTTAACCTGATCTATGGTAGCTGCATCAATGGATGCAGCACAAACAAGGTAGCAGCAATGCAAAGCACTGTGGCCCTGCATCACATCTCTGGAGCTGCAGGTCAGGAAGCAGAGCTGAACCAGGCTCCCAGAGCCACTTTGTGGAGATAAAGCTCTGGCTGCTCTCCGGGTCTGTTCAGAGCTCTGGAATGCCTTCAAATGAACATCCAGATGTGCAGTGGCACATACAGAGCATGCTGGCATAGGAGCTCCTATCTGGTGAAGGAAAAGTCCAGGCTGAAACAGTGATGGAGCTCCAACCTCTTCAGTGCCTGACAAGTCTCATCTTCAGCAGGGATAGTGCAGGAAAAGAGACAATGTCTAGCAGCACCTTGTTCACTCAGGAAACAGACTGAGAAGAGCAGTCATCATGCTGTGTGGCAGGACACAGTCTTGGGCTGGAGATGGAGTAGACATGAACAGACCACGTAGCCAGAATGGGGTGCTGAATGAGACCTTACACTATGTATCATCCATCACTTCAAAATGACTGAGTTTAAGCACCAGTTTCAGTCCACAGTAGACTAAAATGTCACATGCCTCAAGCAGGAAACAGAAAGTCCACAGTGCATAAGGGAATAGCAGTGACCGCAGAGGTGCCACCTGGGTCTGAATTCAGGCATTTCTGTTTCTCTGTGCACGAGAACTACAAGACATCCAAGTATGAAACATCACCCCTCAGCTCCCAGATCTTTTACCAGCCTCATATATCGGTGCCACATGGTTAAATGGCAGTGGTTCAGCCAGGTATTACTGTTACATGAGATACAGCATTCTGTATGACATGTTCTCATTCTCACACACACAGGGAGAATTGAGCTGAAAGTCAGGTCTCTCCTTCATAGAATCATAGACTAGTCTTACAAAGATATTTTTGGAAGGGACCTTAACAATCATCTGGTTCCAACCCCCCTGCATGGGCAGGGACACCTCTCACCAGACCAGGTTGCTGAAAGCACCATCCAATCTGCCTTTGAACACTTCCAAGGATGGGGCTTCCACAACTTCCCTGAGTAGTCTGTACCAGTGTCTAAGCTCTTGCTGTACTGTTTGACCACAGAATGATTTGCTAGGCAAATGTGACTCAAAAAGAACAGCTTGAAATAAAAATTACATCATAGTACTATAGACAAGTAGAGTCTAGGCAACTGACCAAGTGTCCAGAGCCAGTTTTCTGTGACCAAAGCACAGCAGCTCTTGCCAGACACTGCCAGGGTGCTACAAGGGCCAGTAGCTCCCTAAGAGGTGAGGAGTTTAGTCAAGCAAGACAAAGCAGACAGCAAGGAAGGATCCTTGCTAGCCAGGGCCCATACCAGTGTACCCAGAAAAGGGGATCAGACAGGCCAGTGACTACCAGCCAGGATCAGCCAAGAGTCCAGATTTTCAGGCAGGTTCTTACTGACAAGGCAAGTCCCAGGTCAAGATGGGAAGTCATCCCTCAGGTCAGTATCAGGTCCT